CGAGAACTAATTATCACTGGAATAACCTTTGACAACTTTATGAACTTTACTATGGGAATTGCTCTCTGGTTGGAATTTAACTCAGGCAAAGATATCCAACACTAATTCTTAACTATATTGTCATTTATGCAGGAGCAAGAAATAATAGTTTAGTTCTCTGAGAAAACTGACCCCAAGTTTGCCCTCCTGTTTGGTCTTTGTTTGAACTAATGACTGTAGCAGGATGGTCTATTTGCCAAAAGGAGCTACATTTATTATTTGACCTCTAAGAACTTGTTGATGTAATGATTAAGGCATCGAGATAGAAAGTGGGAGTCTATGAGTTCTACGCTTACCTTTGGCACAAAGCCAGCTGGGTGACCTTGGGCGACTATGTATGTATGTATGTATGTATGTATGTATGTATGTATGTTAAGAAAAGCAATAGAGAGGAAGGAAGGAAGGAAGGAAGGAAGGAAGGAAGGAAGGAAGGAAGGAAGGAAGGAAGGAAGGAAGGAAGGAAGGAAATTGTGCATTTATTGTGCATTTCCTTGCCAAATGTTTGACAGCATTATCTAGAAGAATTGAGCAAATTGAATGTTAACACAGCATAGCTCTGTTTTGATAATAAATTCTAGTCCAGAAAAGAATATACGTTATTGTAGGTATCATTGATTGATGATGGCCAAAGGAATACAGACAGTACACATTGAGAGCATTGAAATTGATCAAGTTTCTTTAATAGGTGGTAAGAAAAAGAGATAAAAAAGTTTACTACGCAACCATAAACAAAGCAATTGTCTTAGCCTGAACTGGTATTGACAATACAGTATGACCAATTCTGCCTTCTTTTTTCTTCTATGGCATAGATGGAGATGCCACTTAATATAGTAATGCTATAATCGTTTGAAAAGGAAGCACCATTCTAGGAGAGAGGAGAGTAATGTTAACAAACATTAGTCTGAGAAGTACTGCTTTGCACATGCAGCAAAAGATACTTCTCTGTATTTCAGACTTTCTCTTCTGGAGTATGATTGTATTGAATATGTAGTGGTGATTAGTGGCTTTGAATATATATATATTCTGTCACTTGGAGCAAATTCACATCTATGGTACAGATATTGAAGGAATCCCTTTAACTTCGTAAGAGAAGCTTGAGAAGTGAAAAAGCTTTGATATCCTATGTTTTTCTCAAACTGAATACTTTATATGCGGATAGAAGCAGAGAGCACATGTTTAGGGCTATCAAGCCCAGTGCAAACTGTGCTTTTATGTTGCATAGAAGCAAAATGTTAGCCATTGCAGTTTTCTAATATTGTTGCAAAATTTGGCAGAGATATTATTCCCTCAGTCCATGCCTAACAGAGCCTGTTCAAAGTTTGGAAGTGGCAGATTTGAGAGAGATTAAAAATACTGTATTTCCAATTCCTATCCTTTTCATTTTATGTTCCGTCACTTTGCCTTCTGTGTGCAGACAAATGATTTAGGATTAAAATGTTACATTTTGCCTCCAGGTTTTGGCATTAATTAGAAAGCAGCTGAATCTGTTTTGGTTTGCATGAAGCACATTGTAAAGCTACTAAAACCCTACTTAAAGCTTGTAAACTTCTGCAATGAAGAACAGAGGTGTGTGTTTTCTTTTTGCAGTGCTGATATAAGGATATGTGGCATAAATATAACAACAGATATCTCTTTCCCAGGTAGCTAGTGCAGGGCAGGACCAGGGTCAGCTCCCAAGGCAAAATCCCAGTATCAATAAAAGAGCTTTACCAACCATATGAATTCAACTGTGCAATAAATAATGCAGCAATCATACTGCATATCTTACTCCAGTTAGCAAAATATTCAAAATATGGGCAATGACATAGTATGGAGCCTTACATTTTTTCTGCTGGGTGTTCCTCTAACTGTTTCTGCTTGGAGCAGTGGTACAATTTAATGGTTTGACGGCTGAGTTGTGATTAGAACTCTTTAGATGCCCGTTCAATTGTGAAGTACACAACTTGCATTTATCCACCAGTTTACCATCTCCTCTCCCTCTGCATTACCACCACCCTTTACAACTGTTTTGGCATTCTTGATACATAAGACCAAAAGGCTAAATCTTCTCAGCCTGACAATACAGGGGGGGGGAATACCATTTCATGTTTTTAAACTCAATTCAAGGCATTGTAATGGCTTATTATTATTCCTTTTGGTCATGAAACGATTCTTGTTTCTAAACAAAGAATAATAAATACTTTGTTTCGGTTCAAACATTACTTGGGTACCAGAATAACTTTAGATGGGGAAATAAAAACAATAAAATGAACAGCTGTAGCAATTTACAATAATGTACAAAGTCAGTAGACATTTTACTAAAGAGGGGAAGTTGGATAGAAGAAAATTAAGCTATGCAAATATTGGTAGAAAAGTATTAAATAGTACTTAGTTTGAAACAAATATTGGTCAAAAGAAGGAAAAATGAGCGTAGAAGTATGTTTCTGCCCAATTTGTTACATGGAAGTGAAAGTTGGATATGTGAGGTCAAACATAAAGGGAAATTGAATAGGGTGGAAATGATTAAGTTTGCATGAGAAAACAGGAAAAGACAAGATCAAAATGAATGGGTGACAAATGTGGATTGAATATTGCACAAAGCTGAGTGACTAATGTGAAGAAGTCAGTTGATGTGGTTTGTCTATACAGAAAGGATAAATGAGGTTGAGCTTACAAAATAAATACACAGAAGAGTGCATTGATAGACAGGCTGATTTTCCAGGAGCGCTTCCATCATAAGCTGCAGAATGCACACTGCAGCTCCGGGAAGCCCAGGTCCCTCCACTTGCTCCAGTCTCCTGCCACCCCACACAGTGCCTCCCACGCAGCTTCCAACTTCACCCAGGGAGCCGTGGGTGGCACAGTGGTTAGAATGCATCTATTATCTCCGATTCTTCATTCCATTTAAACTCTTATTATGGCTGCTAATTTCCTTCTCTCTGGTTTTCTAAACTTAGATCCCCCACCTCAGTCCATTTTACATGTTACCTGGATAGATGACTACCAAGGAATCCTAGGGCTCAGTGCTAGGCTAGGAAGCCGAAAAAGCATCTGGAAAAGGCAACTGGAAACCACATCTGTGCTTTTCCCTAAATCAACTTGCTTCTGTGAAGTTCCCAGCAAAAGAGTTCAGTTCAAGGGCATCTTTTTCTTCTTATCTATATTGACTTAAGTTGACTCAGCCTTCCATCCTTCCTAGGTGGCAAAAGTGAGGACCCAGATTGTTGGGGGGCAATAGGCTGACTCTGTAAACCGCTTAGAGAGGGCTGTGAAGCACTGTGAAGTGGTATATAAGTCTAAAGGCTATTGCTGTTGCCGTACACTGACAGCACTGTGCTTCACCATCTCGCTGCCTCCTCCCTGGCCAGGCCTGGCGAGCTCCCTTCCTCAGATGATGCTCTGCCCCCCCCCCTGCACATCCCAGGGCTGCACCCTCACAGAGCACCTGGATCCCAGGCCAGCAGCAGGATGGGGAAGGGGACAGCAGGGGTAGGTGAGCGAATACAAGGGATCCAAAAGGTCAGAGATGAGGGGAAGGTAGGTATTAGAGGGAGTTCAAGAGCCCCTGCAGTCGAATTTTGATTATGTGACTGAGAGCACTGCAATGGCCATAACCTGGGGACCAGTCATTATAACTTCAAACAGTCACTGAATGAATGGTCATAAATCTGCTATCTATAATCTGCTTCTTTCTTGAAGTAAATAGGTATGGCTTCTCAGATAATGGTATCCACCTAGCTCAGGAGTAGGCAACCTTGGCTCTTTTATGGCTCGTGGACTTCAACTCCCAGAATTCCTGAGCCAGCATGGCTCAGCATGGAAACCTCTCCTTTTTCCCTCAGCATGGCTGGCTCAGGAATTCTGGGAGTTGAAGTCCACGAGTCATAAAAGAGCCCAGATTGCCTACCCCTGGCCTAGGGCATACATTCTGGAGTAAAGCATAGATTCTGATGTTTAGCTTGCAGGGGGAGAAACTGCTTTTAATACTTGCATAGCTAGTACCCTTTTACTTCAATCTGAGCATATGCATGGCTGGACTAAAAATTTTTTAAAAAGCATTCCAGAAAACAGCAGCAGCAGTAACAAACTACTTCTGGAGCATTTTCAAAAAAAAAAAAAAAGGATATGGTTGCAGTCACACAATTAACTCAGAAGCATGTTTTTCCTTTTCAGAATCTGAGAATAGGAAGAAAATATAATAAATGGGACGTTGGAATATAGTTTCAATTCAGTGTGGGGTTGCTTAGAAGCCCTAGCAGGACTATAGGATACATCCTTAGCCTTGAGGTCTTGGCAGCAGAAGGTGTCCATGTTTGCTACCAAGGTCCCAGAGACCAGCTAAGCTTAATTCCTTCTTGTAATCATGCTGCAGGTGCAGCATAGCATATTCTGGCACACGAGATATGCAGGCCATTGTTCACTGGGAGCAATGATTGAGTTGTTGCATTTCTCTGTGTTTGCATCCATTAGAATAAAGATTTTGGGCCAGCTTAGTTCTGTCATGTTCCATAAACGGCAGGATCAAATCACCTTGTGGATGCCAGCTCTGTTTGGCACAACTCAAACCATTAGCTGATCCTTCCCACTCCTTCCATTGCCAGTAGTAAATAATTTCTCTCTCCATTAGTCAGTAACAAAACTGACACATTTTGCAGGGTGCTGCAGAGAGAGCATTACACATTTCCTAGTTGAGTTGCAGTAACTATAAACTGTTGCCTTCCCCCTCCCCTTTTTAAATTTTGATTATTAACTCCATTTCCTTCTTAGCGGAGAGCTCTGCATGTTATGGTTTCCCCCCCTTCAATTTAGAGATATTGTGTTTGCACAGCACTTCTCTCACAATCTGTCATGCTCTGTTTTGTTTAGCACACACTTTAAAGATTTTATTATAGCCTCTGCCTTAGAGCCCTTCTTTCCCAACTCAATTCCTGCTGCAGAATGTACGTTCTAGGATAAAAATGCATGTACTTGTCTCATTCCAGCGATTTACCAATGAAGACCACCTGGCTGTTCATAAACTCAAGCATGAGATGACATTGAAATTTGGTCCTTCCAGAACAGATTCAGTCATCATAGCAGGTATGTGCCATGTTCCAGATCAATTTAAAGGGAAACTTTTAATAGAGCCCATTGTAAGATTGATAATAGGAGCTGAATGCATTAGGTATTGTTTGTTCCACCTGTTTTGCAGACTTCAGTTAATCAAGGTAAAGAAAAAAGAAAGAAAGAAACGCTACTAAATAGATCTTTTCCTTTTTATGTATTAGAGAAGTGTCTGATGTTGTGCCTTAAAAGTGAAAGATTTAGAAACAGTTCTTTAGCACGTCATCTGTAATTTCAGGGTGACAAACAATAATTGACTGCTCAACTTCCTTTTCTACTCCCAGGTGTTGGTTTTCTTAAGTGTTAGGTGATCACTTAATACATGTGAAACCTCACCTAGCACTTTGCAATCTCTCTTAGACATGCACAGATTTGAGGAAAATATTCCTGGTAGTCTAGCAGCAGGCCATGTTAACACAAAGAAGGCCACAGAGCATTCTTTTTCTCTTCTACCAATTGCATTTTGGATCTTTTAAGAACAAGACTGACAGGTTACAGATCTTGTAAGAAATTGTCTTGTTTTAAAGTCTCAAATGGAGAAGAAAAATACTTCCAAGACATCTCACTCCCATGTTGACTGGGAACATAGGGAGTTGCAATCTTAACATACCTGAAGAGTGCTGGGTAGAGGAAAACAATTTCAGTTAAACAGTTATTTCCTTTACACAGGCTGTCCTTGCATATTTTGGTTTCTTTATCTGCATCCCTTAGAAAGGACAATTGCAATTTCTTCTGTTACTGCAGCTTTGACAGGGAAAAGTGCTTTCATTCTTGCTTAAAATAGAAATTGAAAGTCATTCTAATTAGTTTGGGTCCGTGAATACTGTATATTTGTAGCAAGTCAATATTAATAAGCCAATATTGTTTCCTTTGACAGGCAGACGTAAGATCTGAAGTAGAAAATTATTATTATTTTGCCATAATCTCCCTGATTCTTTTTTTGATTTTACTTTATTATAATCATTTGGAAGCATTAGGTAAGAAGACCTTCAGGTAGTCCTCAACTTATAACCATAATTAGGACTGGAACTTTCATCCCTAACAATGCAGTCATTAAGACTGCATTTTAAGGCCTTCCTGCCATAGTTGCTAAGCGAATCACATGGTCATTAAGCAAATCCAGCTTCCCCCATGCACTTTGCTTGTTGGGAACTTCCCAGAAAGATCGCAAATAACAATCACGTGATCCCAGGAGGCTGCAAATGTTATGAATACATGCCAAGTGTCAAAATTTTGATCATGTGACCCAGGGAACATTGCAGCCATCATGAATGCAAGGACCAGTTGTAAGTCACTTTTTTCAGTGCCTTCATAACTTCATATGGTTATTAAATGAGTGGTTGTAAGTCAAGAACTAACTCTACAGTTTTGTGGGGATTGCTAACCATACTTAGCATGATCAACTTTTTAGTAAATTATAACAACAATAATAGCAATAACACTTAGACTTATATACCACTTCATAGTGCTTTGCAACCCTCTCTAAGCAGTTTACAGAGTCAGCCTATTGCCCTCCCCCCTGCAACAATCTGGATCCTCATTTTACTGACCTCAGAGGGATGGAAAGGCTGAGTTAACCTTGAGCCGGTCAGGATTGAACTGCCAAACTGCTGGCGGTCAGCAGAAGTAGCCTGCAGTACTGCATTCTAACTACTGTGCCACCACGGCATAGAAAGCATGCTTTGGGGGCTTATTTTTTCCTGACGTATGAAGGGATTGCTAGGCAAATAGTGCACATAAAAGAGGATAAGAGCATTGGCATTGGACAAAGAAGAGTGTCCCCTTAGCACTTGTGCCCAGTAAATACCTAATAGTCAATTACAAAAAATCTATACATACATAGTTCTTTAACATTGATGTCTAATAGGTTGTGTGTTGTGATACACAGTGACTGCTTTACAGAATTGCCTGTCATTTATTCCTCTTGCAGCAGCTTTTGATTAAGCGGATGAATCACTCAAAGCTTCTGTCTTATCTTTGCAAAAATCCTGGGTATATCAGTTCATAAATGCCTCCCCCGAGCAATGACAGCAAATCACCTTTCTGCCACCCTCACTAAATTACGTAAAGTACAAATAAAAGATTCTCCTGAGGTCCTGGGTTTGCTCATATCAGCCAACCTATTAAAATGTCCAACAAGAGGTGAGTGCAGTGGGCCAAAATCCAAGTCAGGCTAGATCCCATTCTTCTGTGGCTGGATGGACACAGCTTGTCCAGTTTGATTTAAGAAGTGAAAAATAGACTGTAAAAATTCAAAATGCTGAGCCAAAAATTCAGAGGCCAAGCATTAATGGCTTCAGTGCTTTATACGCAGTTCTCTTTTCTTCTGTATAATGAATAGAAGCAAAAGAAGAAAACACATTTGAACATGCAGAATTCAGATCATAAAACACATCCCATTTGACATTAAACATTTACGTGTCGTTAATTGGTATGATGAATACTAAAAAAGGACAAGTCCCAGACAAACCACATGACTTATCATGCGACCCCTTTGTTTCACCTTCTGTCTCTTTTCTTATGTCAGTGACCTTCCCAAGATGGCCAATTTCCTGTCCGTTCTCTGTGGCTGTCCCCCTCCTTTTGCAGCAACTTAGTGTAGCCAACTTCCTGTACATTCTCCGTAGCCATCTCCCTCTTCCTATCGCAGCACGTAGAATACTAAACAAATACCGAGTACTGGACAACATTTTCACCTCAAAATGTGTCGAGTACCAGGTTTGGAAGCAGTCGACTACTGAGGTACCACCGTAAATGTAAATGCTGTAAGTAAATCTAAAACAGGCATGCAGAAGCAGAAATGAAAAAGCTGACGTTAGTGTTAGCCAATATGCTTTTTAAAATAAATATATATAATATAATAAATATTGCCCCTTCAGTGGCTTTTCTGCATCTAGCAAAAATCTAGGTTTTGTAAATTGGGAAAGAGAAATGGCTCTCTTCTTTTCTAGACCATCGATATGATGCAGCTGGAAAGGAAGAGCAAGTGGGAGGAAGAGATTCTGAGAGGGATAAGAGCAGAAGTTCCCCACAGAGATAGACCTGCATATTCTCTCCCCTCCCTTCCTTAATAGGATAAGGGATTGAAGCGCTTTATAGAGGGGGTTGTTCTTTGGATGACTCACTGTTTGGATAGGATTCTAGTAAGATAGAGATTCTTTATTCTTCCCTCATTCTTCTTGATATTTTTAGAAACATCTATACATGCACACTGAGGCATCTTCCTGAGATCCTCTGAAGCAGAACATCATATCCCAGCACCATCCAGAGCAGTACATGTCTTGGGCTTTCATATGCTCGCTCCTACTGTAAGATCTCCCCCTTCTATTATGATATAGCCAATCTGTATTCCCTATTTCTACGCTGTCCTGCTCTTATCTTTTAAAATGCCTTCATTCGTTCTCCCTTCAGCCCCTCCTAATTCCTACTGCATTAGAGTCCTCCAAAACTGCAATTCGTTTATATGTATGTTTTCCTATCTCTGTTACAGATTCAATATCACATATCATTGCAAAATACATAGAATTATGCTTTATATTAATACATGGATGAAACACTTTCTGCCCAATGCGCTCTGCACAGGACAGGATGATGGTGATGAGGAGGAGGAGGAGGAAGAAGAAGAAACAACACACACACGGACATAACTATCTGAATAATGGAATCCACTCTTTCTAGCATGATAACTGCATTTTTAATTTATAGCTGTGCTGTAAATTTATATCCTGGCTGCACATTCTGTGGGATGAATCATGGACTTCAATAGCATATTTCTTACTGTCTTTTTCCTCTTCTTTGCCAAACAGATCAAACCCCAACACCAACACGTTTTCTTAAGAATTGTGAGGAAGTTGGTCTCTTCAACGAGTTGGCAAGCTCATTTGAACATGAATTCAAGAAAGCCTCAGAAGATGATGAGAAAAAGGCAAGAGGCAAAGTTCTTTGTTCTTACTAAATTAAAATGTTGAGCAACCTGAGGGTCCTCATCTGTATCAAGAAATACTGCCAGCTCGGGGAGAATTTAGGTTTTGATTGGCAAGACCACACTTAACCAGGGAGAGGGTAGGGTGCAGCAAACAAGGCAAAGTTGGTGAGTTTTGTCATGCATGTAAAATTGTGCTTAAAAGTATGTGAATTCTTTTTAATGTTTGATATGTCTGCATATATATAACTTAAAACATCTGTTTTCCACACATGTCCTAAAAATAGAAAAAAAGAGAACTCAATTAAACAAATGAGTTGAAAACATTATACTTGTTTCTTTATTAAGGAAAATGATCCAAAGCTAGATATTTGTCCATGGCAGTGGCCCCCAACCTTTCCGGCTTTGTGGACCAGCACGGGGGTGGGGGAGACGGAATGGTTCCACACAAGTGGTGTGTGCACAAATGGAGCTGCATGCGCACTTGCCCACTGCTTCCCCACAATCCACTTCCGGACAAGCCACACCCCAGTAGTGGACCGCAGCCTGGAGGCTGAGGACCCCTGGTCTGTGGGGTAGTTATGGGCATCCCTAGAGTGAAACCCATTGCACTTCTGCTCCATGACCTACGTTGCCAGTTTGTTTCCAGGTCCATTGCAAGGCTCTGGTTTTGTCCTTTAAAGCAGCAGTCCCCAACCTTTGTAGCTTGGCGGCCTGGCAGGGGAAGAGTGGTGTGCAAGCAGTGGGCCAGCGCACACACGTGTACAGCTCAACTTGGGTAAGTCGTGAGCCAGTGTGCATGCAACACAGCTCAACTTGTGCAAGTTGAGCTGCACGCGTGTGTGCACATGTACCCCCTGTCACTCGCGCAGGTTGGGCTGCGTGCATACGCACCAACACACTGCTCGCATGGCCCAGTTGCAAATAGGCCGTGGCCTGGTGGTGGGCCACAGCCCAGGGGTTGGCGGACCCCTGCTTCAAAGCCCTACATGGCATAGGATCAGGGTATTTGAGGGACCACTTCTTCCCAGTCACTTCTACCCACCCCATCAGGGCAGGCAGGCAGGGCATGTTACAAGTCTTGTGTGCTAAGAAGTTCCATCTGACGGGACCAGGAGCTGAGGCGAGAATAGCCCCAACCATCTTGGCCTTCCAGAGATATCTCAAGATATGTTTTTTTCCAGCAGACCTGGAGATCCCTTATGTTCAGGAGCTTGCAAAATGGCTTTATCTTCGTCTGGGTTTTTAAACAATCTCCTATGTTACATATGTGTTCCTTATTCATAGGGTTATTTTAAGATGTATTTTTATTGTTTTGCTGTTAGTATACCCTGCCCAGTCACATTTGTGAGATGGGCAGCTATATACATTTGATAAATCAAGAAATAAATTAAATAACCCAAGAAGGGCTTTTAGGAAAAGTTTAACAAAGGAAAAGATTGCATACAGTTAACAATGAAGACGAGCTAAAATTAATTTCTTTCCACATATGGCTTCATACAATGCCATTGGTGTTCCCTTATTTGCTCAAAACTTTTCCAAAATACCAGAAACTCTAGACACGAATCGCTGGGCAACACAATCCCATCAGAGTTTTCCGTAAGGTCAGAATTTTCAGTCTCTCTAATTCTCTGAGGGGAGAACTTGATCAATTATTTTGACTAACAATAATATGTATAATTAGTATTATTAACTTTTAACAATGTATGGTAGTCATTGCTTACTGACCATTCATTCAACAACCCTCTAAAGTTGAATGAATGGTATTTACGATCAATATACAAAGTTCTGGCTGTCACAGTGCCCCAGAGTCATGTGATCACAATTTAGGCACTTGACGATTCGCTTATACTTATGACAATTGCAGCATCTCACAGTCACATAAACAACATTTGTGTCTCAGTAGCAAAGTCAATGGGGAAGCCAGCAGGGGAGGTTATAAGTCACAGTCACATGAGATCTTTGCTTAACAATCCTCACAGTCATCATCTCCACTTAGTGACCAACATGTCAGGGTTACAACCCTTGTCAGCAACCAGGACTCCTGGGCCTGTCCTGGCTAAGTGATATAGTCATGTGATAATTATTCTTTATGACCACATCGCTTTCCCAATTGTTGTAACCTAAGAATTAGCTATATGTGAAAAGCTCACTTGAGTTTACTATAATTACTAGATAGAAATACCATTTATTGTAGTTATGTAGTCATTTATTGAAATCACTAGCTAGATACATGTGTATTGTTTTTTGGATAACAGTATGCCACGGTCATTTTCTGGGATATTGTTCCAAGTTCCCAATCTACTCTAGAGCTCTAGAATTTTCTGGTGGCCTCCAGATTAACACCAATGAGGTCCTAACTAATCTATAGCTTTCTGAAGATCGGCCAAGATCTGCTGGATGTTGCCATCTGCTATAACACTCCATCTTAGGCCTTTGTTTGATTTAAGATGAAATCTAAAAGAGAGGGGGGGAAATTTTATTGCCTCGGTGCTTTTTCAAGCTTTGTATCCCAGCTGTAGTTAAAGTCAGATTTCACAGAACATCCTGTTAGAACAGTAATGAAAGAAAAATAGATTTCATGAATTCATACTTTAATACAGGGGTGTCAAACTGCCAGCCCACGGGCCAGATGCGTCATGCCAAAACCACGCCCACCCTATTGCCGGCAATGGAAAAAAATCACGATATGTCGCGACACATCACGTGACGTTGCGAGTTTGACACCCCTGTTTTAATACGACAGTTTTCCCCAAAGCATTGGAAGGGGATGCTTGGCTAGAACACATATACCTATATTTTATTTTTCATATTTTTCTTTATGAAATCATCTGTATCTTATTCTGCTCTTAGGAAAGGTATCCAAACGCTGCTTGCATGAGTTTGCATTTTCCCTCCCTCTTTCTCTAATAAACCTTAAAGCAGGGAGCATTCAAATTGAATTATTTATTAAATAAAAATTTAAAATAGGATTAGGCCAGACAGAACAAGAAACTAAGCAACCCTTGATCTTTTTTTATGTCTCATATTATACTTTTTAATATACAGTAAATAAACAGCCACGGGTTTCTTAACGAAATCCTTATCTTGCCTACTAAATTGCTGCATTGCTGTTCTCACTGAGCAATTCCTTTATGCTGTCTGGGTTCCTTGTCTTTTAAAAATTGTGTGGCAGCCTGGAATCTTAATTTTAGCTTTTAATTTGAAATTTTATGGCCCAACACTTTATGTGTTTAGATCACCCATAGTCCTATTGCTGGGCTTTTTAAAATAGCTACCACTGCGACTCTTAATTTGGAGGAGTTTATCTCCCCTTCCTCCTAGTTAAATATATGACTCAGCCTTAATATTTCTAACCTCTGCAAGAGCCTGCAGCAGTTCCAAGCCTGGTTAGTTTCAGGCAGGCTGAAGGAATTACTCCTCCAAGAATAGAGCTGCCTGGATTGTTAATTCCAGCTGGTTTCCTATTTAGAAAACTTGGCAGATTTTGCCCGCCACATTCATGGGATGCTTTAAACACTTGGCTAAATCGAGTCCAGTTGCTAGTGATAGTTTTACTTTGCGGATGTATGAAAATTGATGGGGGAGGAGGGTGTTGTTCCTTCTGGGTAGTTCCAGCTAAGAAATGTTGATGATCTTTGTAGTTGAAAAAGGTTGGGGTATTTCCAGACGGATGGGTGACTCATCTCCTGGGTCAGGACGAGTCATATGGAGAAGTTCCACCTTCATTTACTCCTCAGCGCTGAGACCTCTTTTTTAAACCCTACAGGCCCAATCCTTGTTTTTAGTCTTTATGCCATATGAAAAGGGTTGATGGCTGAGGAATTCTGGGAGTTGAAGTCCACAAATCTTAAAGTTGCCAAGGTTGAGGACCCCGGTTGGAGAGGGTTGAACAGGAACATACTAGGCCTGAGTTAAGCAAATAAGAGGCTAAAGGAGAAACAACCAGGAGATGGCGAAGTCAGACATTCAGCATGTAATCTGACAGTTTATGTATGAGGTGACTAGGCTGAACCCAAGGGAAGGGTCAAGAGTGTGATTATTTGGAGTCCCTTCGCGCCCACAAGAGATCCAGATCCAGCCCTCCTTGAATTCCATTGAATCTTCATCTACCGCCAGTTTGCCTTGACTGCTAGTAGTTCAGATTCTTGTTTAGCAATAGCATGGAATAAACTTGTACTGATTTGAACCACCCCAGTTTCTGATTTCTTGCGCCTGGCAGTTTTTATTACAATATAGAAGAGGGTACTAAAGAAACATTTAACTGAAGATTATGCACAAAAAATAGCCAGCAGAAGACCAAGGAGGAGACAATTAGCAGACTGCTAAGCAAAGAAGGAAAGAAAGATGATCTAATTAATTGTTACCCTGATTGCCCCTATTGGCTTTCTTTGGTAGCCGCTAAAAGCAGTTTTCTGCCTTGAATACATCGAAGACTAGCTTGTTCATGCTGACCGGCCTTTTCCCTCCCGCAGCTCATTATACCTTCTTTTATCACCTTGGCAAACTCCATCAAAGGCCTCGAGGAGATACTAGGCCGCTTTTGATTGCTTCAAGACTATTTAATGTGCCAGTTCTCTTTCTGCTCTGCTGTGCACGAACCGTACCTCTGATATTGCCATTTCTTCCTGCTGTACTCCAGTACTGGCCCAGTGATCTACGATCATAGCAGGCTGTTGTTCACAAAATTGGAAAAGGCCACGCTGAGCTGTTGAAATGGAAATAGGTGTGGTGGCATGCTGCCAGGCTCAGGCATATGGTTAGGTTTTATTACAATGGCCTGGTCATAGGTTTGTAATAACTTATATGGCTCTCTCGTTGGCTTTTGATAAATCAAGCAGTAATTCAAAAGTGACTTATATAGAGGATTCCAGCACTTCTGTGAATGAGTGTTTTTTTGTGACCTGCAGGCCTTCCAGCTTTATTTTTATATTAGCAAAGTTTTACAAGAAAAAAAAAGGTCGCCTATATAGTGTTGTGTACACGATCTCCAAAATACTGCCTTTCTGCTTTAATAGGGTTTTAGGGTCTGAGCAATTTAGACAGACAACTAAGCTGACATTATTGTTGGAGAAGAATAGCAGATGTCCTTGGTGGGGAAAAAACGTTGTTTGCATAACCTGCACTGCATTGTTTCAGCTAAAGGGCCACCATAAGAGCACATATTGAGTAAATATAACATGTAGAACAGCCCAGCGCATGTATTCTGGATAGAGAGAAGTTCCCTGATGATGGGCTCCAGCACGATCCCGAAAGCGTGGAAGAATAAATCTTTGGATTCTGGTGACCGACTCAGATTGGTTCCTGTAGTCTTTAGTATATTAGCTTTTCTGGGCTAAACAGCCATATTAGTACCGGAAAAGCAGGATACAAAGTGCCACAAGTATGGGTAGTCATGTTTCTAGACTTTTCTAACTATGCTTGTGGATGGTGAGCGTGCAAAAACCTGCAAACACATTGCAGGAGCTTTGGGCACTATGCTAAAACCTGTATTTTGTGTTTCCACAGTGTTCTGGACCTCTAGATATGTCTCTTCCCTCTACCCCAGACATCAAAATCAAAGAGGAAGAGCCTGTCGAAGTTGATTCTTCTCCTCCAGACAGCCCCATAGGGAGCCCACAGTCACCACAGGCTAAGGAGAAGGTGAGCTTTCAGGAAGTACAGATAATCCTCAAATTACAACCACAGCTGAGCCCAAAATTTATTTTGCTAAGTTAGAAATTTGTTAAGTGAGTTTTGCCCCATTTTTACGACTTTTCTTGCCACATTTGTTAAGAGAACCACTTCAGTTGTTAAATTAGTTACACCGTTGTTATAGTGAATCTGGCTTCTCCCTTAACTTTTCTTGCCAGGTAACAAAAAGGGATCACATGACCTCGGGACAGTGCAACCGTCATAAATATGAACCAGTTGCCAAGCATCAGAATGTAAATCACCTGACCCTGAGGATGCTGCAACGGTCATAAGTGTGAAAAATGGTCATAAGTCGCTTTTTTCAATGACATTGTAACTTTGAACAGTCACTAAATGAATTGTTGCAAGTCAAGGATTACCTGTATTATTTTAATCTGCTTTTAATGGCTTTTGCTTATTCTGGGAAAGATGTCCTTTGCATAAAAATAAAAGCAGAACTAGCTTTCTTATTACATCTGATAATAGTAACATAGAGACAAGAGATTCAGAAGTATTAGTCAGTTTAATCCTACAAATATGGGTTTGCTGCTGGACTTGCTACCCATTTTCTGATTCTTGGACATGCCGGTGTAAGAACTGGCAGTTTCATGCCAGGGACAGATGCATGAAAACTGCTGAAATAATTTAAATTATCACCACTCCAGTGTCTTTCTCTATGCAGCCCTTTCTTGGCTTCATGTCTGCTGGCAATTCCATCTTCCTAGTGATGGATCTCAACCAAATCATAAAGCAGGAAAGAGCTCAGAAGAATGAAATGAATTTATGGAAACATGGCTTATCGCTGCTCCTGAAGTTCTTGCTACTAGAGAAAAACATTGGGATTGGATTTGAATTTTATTGAACATCATTTTGCATTGCAAATAGTTCTTAAATTTTGCTCGGAGTTCAAATTGCCTATTATCATCTACCAATATGCCTGCAGATCACATTAATCCATGTTTTTCCATACCATTGCACTACTTTGTGAGGTACCTGATAGGGTTAACATGATTTTGGTGCAAACCTACTAAACGCTATAAATAAATAAATCTGTTTGATTCATTTCTTAAACCAAGCAATCCTTGTAATAAGTGCTGTAGATTCCTGTCTTGAGAAGATTTAGAACTTTTGTCTTTTGATAAAATTGGGATTTTTGAAACTACATTAATGCAATATTTATAGGCTTCAGCCCTATCAAATATTTGGACTAAGCAGGGTATTATTTGTTCGGCATTAAGAAAAAGGGGTGTTTTTGTATTTTTTCATGCCCTGTTTCTATGTTTTCATCAATAATAATCAGTAATATGATATATAATATAATTAGCTAGAATAGAATAGAATAGAATAGAATAGAATAGAATAGAATAGAATAGAATAGAATAGAATAGAATAGAATAGAATAGAGCTGGAAGGGACCTTGGAGGTCTTCTAGTCCAGCCCCCTGCTCAAGCAGGAGAACCTATACCATCTCAGGCAAGTGACTGTCTAGCCCACGGGTCAGCAACCTGTGGCTCCGGAGCTGCATGTGGCTCTTTGAGCCTTCTTCTGCGGCTCCCAGCCTCCTCTGCCATTTGCAGGGAAACAGAGACACAGAGAGACACTTGTGCTTCCCTTTTCTTTCTCTCTCTCTCTCTCTCTTTCTCTGTGTGTGTGTGTGTGTAAAAAAGAGTGGCCTCACCATGTTCTCCGACAAGCTGACAAGCTTATTGGGTGGGGCTCCTGCCTTGGCTGCATCTCTGCAGGAAGGGCAGGAGAGAGCCAGCCTGTTGGAGAACAGCTTGAAGCCAGCTTGCCAGGTGAGCAGAAGATCAGAGAGAGGGAGGGGGGGAAAGAGAGGAAAGAGTGAGAGAAAGAGAGAGGGAGAGGAGACAGAGAGGGAGAGAGAGAAAAAAAGAAGGGGGGAGAGGAGAGAGAGGGAGAGAGAGAGAAAAAAAGAGGGAGAGAGAAAAAGAGAGACGGGAGAGAGAAAAAGAAAGGGAAAGGGAGAGAAAGAGAAAGAGAGGGAGAGGAAAGAGAGAGAGAACTCATGCACAGCAGCCTCTATTTCTTTTTAATTAAACTCTTCAATCAAGCTCCTCCCCCTTGCGTGTATGCACAGGTTTTGCGGCTCCCAGTGTTTTCTTTTCTCTGGGAAATGGGTCCAAGCGGCTTTTTGAATGTTTAAGGTTGCAGACCCCTGATTTAGCCTCATCTTAAAAATCTTCACTGATGGAGCGCCTGCAATTTCTGAAGGCAAGCTGTTCCACTGGTTCATTGTCCTCACTGTCAGGAAGTTTCTCCTTAATTCCAGGTTGCTTTTCTCTTTGATCAGTTTCCAACCATTGTTTCTTGTCCTGCCCTTTGGTGCTTTGGTGAATAACGTGACCCCCTCTTCTTTGTGGCAACCCCTCAAATACTAGAATACTGCTTTCATGTCTCCCCTATTTCTTCTTTTCTTTAGATTAGCCAAACCCAAGTCCTACAGCTGTTCTTTGTATGTTTTAGTCTTCAGGCCTTTGATCATCTTAGTTACTCTTCTCTGAATTTTTTTCCAAATTCTCAACATCTTTTTTATGATATGGTGAACAAAATTGGCTGCAGTATTCCAGGTGTGGTCTTACTAGGGTTTTATAAAGCGGCACTAATACTTCATGCGATCTTGATTCTATGCCTCTGTTATACAACCCAGGATTGTATTAGCTTTTTTGGCTGCTACTGCACACTGCTGGCTCATAGTCAAGTGATCGTCCACTAGGACTCCAAGGTCCCTCTCACAATTACTGTTTTTAAGCCAGGTCTCGCCTAATCTGTATTTGTGCCTTTGATTTTTCCTGCCTAAATGTAAAACTTTGCTTTTCTCCACACTGAAACTCATTTTGTTGGATAGGGCCCATTGTTCAAGTTTCTCAAGATCTTTTTGGGTCCTGAGTTTGTCTTCTGGGGTGTTGACTACTCCTGCCAGTTTGGTGTCATCTGCAAATTTGATGAGTTCCCCTTCAATTCCCTCATCTAAGTCATTGATGAAGATATTGAAGAGTACTGGGCCTAAGACGGAACCTTGTGGTACCCCACTGCTTACTTCTCTCCATGTGGATGTAGTGCCATTGAGGACCACTCGTTGACTACGGTTTGCCAGCCAGCTACAGATCCATCTGGTGATGATGTTGTCTATTCCACCTTTTTCTAGCTTACCAAGGAGTAGGTTGTGCTGTACTTTATCAAATGCCTTACTGAAATCTAAGCTAACCAATAGGATAATAAAACAAAAATTAATAGCATTCCGCAAGGATAGTGGGTGATGGGATCTGTCACTGACTGTCTGCATTTCTCTTAGGAGAATGCTTCAAAGCCTATTATCATTTCTACGCCTACACCAACTATTGTACGTCCTGGATCTCTGCCACTGCACTTGGGATATGACCCCTTGCATCCAACTCTCCCTTCTCCAACCTCAGTCATCACCCAGGCTCCACCTTCCAACAGACAGCTCGGGTAAGTAGAAATTTCAGGGGAAGAGAAAGCATCCTAAGCAGATTAGCACTGAGCAGTTAATCAGGTAGAATTTTCTTCTGCAAATGTCCTGATATCAAATCTTACAGAGTACGGTAGTGGAATATATAAGTGCCCAAGAACAGCCATGAGGGAAGAAAACATACCCTAGGATTTTGACAACTGGTTTCATCATAGTTAAATGTTTTAATTATTACTGCCGCCCCAATTCAATTTTGAGATGGATTGGGAGACGAAGCTGGCTTTAGTTATCATAGTCTTTGCTTAGCGGCTGCCACATTTAGCAACTGTTCACATTCATGATGGTAATGAAAAAGTAACTTGGCAACCAGCCTTCATATTTACAACCTTTACAGCTCCTTATGTAAAGGAAAAGAAAATTGAAATGAGATCATAAAATCATGAAGTTTCACTTAGCAACGACTTCGCTTAATGGCCAGGCTGCTCAATATGAAGTAGTGTATTAGTTTAGAAGCAACTGTAGCTTTGCAATCCATGTTTACTCTGTCAATTAAAAAGTTAGATTAAGAAATTAGTTTGTTGTCCATTGGTTAGAGCACCAATGGAGAATTTGGAGAAGGGATGGGTTCCATGAATCAAAAGAGAATCATGTGCGACCAGGATTGATTGGAGAGAGAGTTCACTTCCCTGCAAATTGGACTGAAGTTTGTTTGACGCAGTTTCTTTTGCTTGAAATCTTTTCCAGGTCGCCTACCAGTTCTCTACCACTTGTCATGCACCTTGTGAATGGACAGACTATGCCTGTCCTTCCTGGCCCACCCGTTCAGATGCCTTCTGTCATATCGGTAATGAAAGCTTCCAGCATGGCTGATTTTGATAAAGGAAGGGACAGTTTTTCCCCTTTGCAGAGCATATGGGGCACTTTAATTTGCAAAATTGACATCTCCCTCTACTTCTCTGCATGAGATAAGCCTATGTTGGAGTAGAGGACATAGGGGTGATGAAAGCCACTGCCTGTGAGGGTAGCAGTGCCTGCCAACCAAGTCATTGGTCAGGAAGGCTCAGGCTGAATCCTTCTATGAACAGATGGCTGGCCCTGTTGGTTCTGGGGCTGGGAATGGCAGGCTTTCTGATTAGCTAGCTTTGTGCTTGAAACTATTCAAGCTTGCAGAGAACATGTCAGCTTTTCCAAGCCAGGAAAAACTCCCTCCCTGGCCTCTTCGGGGCATGAAATGGTTATTTAGCTTTTATTTCTGCATATGGATTTGACAAACATGAGTACCTTCTGGTGCATCTTGTATTATTTCTGATGTTGCATGCAAATCAAGTGTCTGCTTGTTTGTGCAGTAAATTTTCATTGACTTTAAGTGTTTAGAAAGTTTCTGCCACAATGAAAACAGGTCAACTCCAATAAATTGGAAAGGCTAATTTGTTAGGACAAGTAGAAGAAATCTCTCTATGTTCCTGGTGGGGAAGTTTGCAAATGACTGCCTTTTCTCCAGGATGTATCAGTAATACTTTGTGAATTCTAATTAGCTACATGGTATCTTCTTCCCCAATTGTTCTGAAAGTAAATAATATCATAAAATGGGGGGAAATGTCAAAGAACCTTACAGAGGATAACAAATCAGTCAGAAGTTTTACTCCTTATGATAAAAATGTAATTCTGAGCATGCCCTCCTCTAAAAATGTCAGGCTTCTGTACTTTGTTTCTGGCTTATTTTTATCCCTTCAACAACTTGAAAAATGTGTTACCTGAAAGATGACAATTGTCTTGAATGTTGCTCAATGAAGCGCTCCCCCTTCTAGTTCAAAACTAAGGGTTTAATCATTTTAGCATGATTGATCTCCAGATGTCTTTCTTTTAAAACAATATTTAGGCCTAGTTCAATAATTTAGGCCTAGGCAACCTTGGCTCTTTTATGACTCGTGGACTTCAACTCCCAGGATTCCTGAGCCAGCCATGCTGAGGGGAAAGGGAGAGGTTTCCAAGCTGAGCCATGCTGGCTCAGGAATTCTGGGAGTTGAAGTCTATAAAAGAGCCAAGCTTGCCTATCCCTGGCCGTTATCTGGAGCCAGAATCTTCCTTATGATCCACAGATTGCTAGCAATTCCCAATTTCAAGATAAGAATCATTTGAGAGCTAGCATTATGCTACAGTTTTTAGGTGACCATTGAGAATTTGCACATGGACACCTAAAATCAAATGAGAATATTTGGGACAATCATAAAAAAAGAGAGAGGATTTGGCTGTTGTAGCAATATAGTATGGCTCAGAGAAAGTGAACTGGCCAGCAATTCTCCTCCTGCCTCCTGTTTCTTCCTCTTCTGTTCAGCCTAGTTAATCGGCTGAAAATTTGTGGGTTTCATGCAAACACCAATGGTGAGATTTTTATGAGGCTTTTTTTTCTCCTTTTCATTGTGTTATAAGTAAAAAAAAAAAAAAACAAAACCTGAGGTGCTTCTTCCTCCTCCTCCAATATATAGCTGGCAAGGCCAATGCCCATGGTGCCAAACATTCCTGGTATTCCTGGTCCCCCGGTTATCAGCAGCGGCTCAATTTCACCATCAGGCTTTCCAGGACACTCTGAAGCTAAAATGGTGAGCTCCTGTTTCTATTGCGTTGTTCACAAGATTGCTCCTTTTAAAGAATCGAACGAGAGAGATGCACGCACCAAGATGCACTGCAGATTTCAAAAACATTTTTCTATCATTCTAGTCTTGAAAGCATGGCTGGCTGGGGCATTCTTCTGGGAGGTGAAGTCATTATATCTTTAAAAGTGCCCAAGATTGAGAAACACTGCTTTAAAGAAACCTCATCTTGTAAAAACTGCTTTAGGTTGTTGTATCATTTTTCAGAAATAAGTCTTAGTCTCTTTTACCATCACCACTTGTACAATTTACAGACTTGAAGAACTAGATCCAAAATTGCTAAAGTTCACAGTGGGTTTTTTTGTTTTTGTTTTTTAATAGTGTTCCCTTGCCAAATACAATAAATCTGCTTTTGAAATTCCCTCACGGGTTCAAAAGCAACTTGGTGTATGGCAGCCTTCCCCAACCTGGAGCTTTCCAGACATGTTGGAATTGCGAACCCCAAAATTCCCATCCACAGAGGCTGATATATGGCAGTAGAAGGGGAGGTACTCTGCCAAAACCACTATAAAATCCTTTACAGGGTACAAAACTGATCAGAGTTCCTTGAATTCTGGCTTGGGGTTACAAAGACTATAGCCGTAAAAGTGTAGACATGTCCAAATACAGTATATTAAGAATAGATATTAACTTACATCTGAGCAAATATCACATTCCTGTATTTTTTCAGGCTAGACCACCTTTACAGCAACAGAATATTTTATTCTAACTTACAGGCATATCCTTTTGATAGTTTTATAATCTCTCTCTTTTAAGTGTCTTCCATTTGACCAAGTTATTTTGAGACTAACACACACATTCCTTGGAAGGAAAATGAAGTAAAATGTAATAAGAATCCCAATGTTTTACTAGAAAAATTCCAGCTGTCTGAAAATTTTATGGTGACTTATTTCTTAATTGTATTGGAAAGGGATAATTCCTGTTTAAACATTCCATATTAATGAGAGCTTCTCTTGAAAAAAAGAGAGAGCGAAAGAGAGAGATTTTTTCAAATTTTCTTAGCAAAAAGAATTCCCAGTCACGTGTAAAGTTTTTACATCCATTAATTCTAGGGACATAAATGTGAACCTCTAGCTAACAGCATGTCAGGTTTACTGGCCCTTGTCTTCAAAAGTCTGCCTCTTTTTAGCAAACCCCGAATATGTGTTAAAAACATCAACAGAGTTGGGCCTCTCAGTATTTGTTTTGTCTTCATCCCATGCAGAGGCTAAAAGCCAGCCTGACACAAGGAGTTACTTCCTCACTGAACGGCAGCAGCATGATGGTGGGATCAGCGAGCACAATGGTGACTTCCCATCCTGAACAGGGTCAGATACTTATCCAGCACCCTGATGCGCCTTCTCCAGCCCAGCCCCAGGTTGGTTAAGAGCCAAATTGGATTAAGTAAGGATTCACGAAACGGAAGTGGGACTGCAATACATCTCATTCTTTCTCAGCTGGCAGGTCATCGGCTAAAGGAAAGAGCCCAAATTTAGGAAAGCTGCCTGGAAATTTGTAAAGCCACTTGCTAGACCAGGGGTGTCAAACTGCCGGCCCATGGCCGGCAATGGCAAAACTCTCCCAATACATTGCCTGATGTCACATGACATTGGGAGTTTGACATGCCTGTGCTAGACCATGTGATATTTAATTAAAATCCAGTAGCTACTATTGGAGCCAGAATTGTATATAAAAGAGTAATGTGCTGTTCCTTGTGGTGAATAAAAGGGGAATGGGGAATTTCTAAGTAGGTGCTTGAGCTAACTATGTGTTAAAGAGAGCACAATGGGTAGCATGGTATCATTTGCTACGATACGTACACTTTTTATTCATATTTTTAAAAATCAAATATGAATTTAAGATTTTGAACCATTATAAAACAAGAATGATCTGATGATTATGTGAGGAGTATATATCAGGCTAATGAATTCTCTTATGCAATAATATGGTCATTCCTGGAGAAGGGAAGGGAAATTGTCATCAGCTTCCAGCAGTCTTTTAGTTATCCAGAAATAAATGATACTTTGTTTTGCATTTCTCTCTTCCCTTATGTTCCTGTACATCCTTTGTCTTTTTGTATTCTTTCTCTATTTCTTTAGAGAGCAACTCTCCTTTTTGCAGTTTCTGAAAAACTGCTTAAGAACAAACCTCAAATTTTGCAAATGGGAATAAGCTTGAAAATTCAGTATGTTGTTTTTCCTTGTTGCCAAATTTCAGCTTTCTAGTTGCAGGATGTGCTAGGTTTAGGCACTCAGTTTCTAATTCCCTGAGCAGGTGGGTAGACTTGGGTGAGCCTCCCTTGCTTCTGTCAGCATTGCTCCCAGATGTTTACAACTGAGATACAACAGCAATGAGGACAGAGTCAGAAACACAGAAGCAATGTTTACAAATCTTCTCTCCCTCTGTCTCTCGTCCTGATTTAATTACTTGAGTTTAAATGCACCCCATTTGGTCCTGCCAACTTACCAAATGCCAGCCTTCCATCATAATTACCACCTGCTCTGTCAGTTAGAGCTTCCAGAAGTTTACTGTCCATATGTTGCCTGACTGACAGCGAGTATAGAGAAGTGGAAACTGTCTGTCTAATTATAGAGCCCATTTGGGGAGGCTGAGCTAAGGTGGGAACCTGCAAATTTGTTTTTGCTTTTGGCAGTTATTTGGCTACTTAAAAATAAAAAGGATTTCAGTGACTAATACAGTGTTGGCTCTACCACATAAGCATCTCATTGCAAAAATTATATAGATGCTTGAATAGGCACAAGGGAAAAGAGGAGGGTTTTTTAATTAAATTGATAAAAGGGTGCAAAATCAAATAACGATTTATTATTCCATGTTGCTTGCAGATAAATGCACAGCAATAGACATACATTTGTCTTGTACATCCATTTTACAAGTAGACTATTGGGAACCAGACAAATCAGAGGAAAGTATTATTTATTGTTTGTTCATTAAAAGATTGTAAATATCAGAACAGTTTACAGAAAAATATAGTGCAAAATATAATAAAAGCAATCAAGAATAAAAAAGAAACATTAAACGACAAAGTAGCATTTGAGAGCAGTGCTCATAGGCAGTGCTAATAGTCCCAGAAATTGCTTGGACAAATTCTATGGTCCATATACCGAGTTTCCCCGAAAATAAGACCTATCCCGAAAGTAAGCCCTAGCTTGATTTTTACATGTGTGCCTAATATAAACCCTACCCCCAAAATAAGCCCTAGTTTTGGGGTGAGGTGCACACGTAAAGATCAAGTTGGGATGGGGTGTGTGGAGCTGCCTCACACTCCCTGCACCCGTTTACCTTAGCACTGCCTTAGCCAAGATTCCACACCCCAACAACTGTCGCACCGCTGCCTGACTTCTTCTGTGGCTTCTTGCAGCCAGATGCCACATGGCGCACCACATCAGTGCCACCTCTCGTGGCAGGAAGCTGTGTGGCCCGTGGCGCAAGCAGCGGCACCGACACAATGCGCTGCATGGCCTGCCATGAGCAGAGCGCCACGTGGCGTCCAGCCACAAGCAGCCGCAAAAGAAATCAGGCAGCGATGCAACAAGTGTCGGGGCATGGGGAGGCCTGACTGCAATGGTCCTAAGGTAAGCAGGTAAGACATCCCCCGAAAATAGGAATGGTGCTTTTTTTGGGAGGCAAAAAGAATATAAAGACCGGGTCTTATTTTCGAGGAAACACAGTAAATATTTATGACTGGTAAATTCTTAATACAAGGTGGCCCTCTTCAGATAATGGCTGAACTGCAACTTTCAGCAGTTCTAGCCAACTTGAGTAGTGGCAAGAGATGCTGGGAGGTGTAGTTTAATAACACCGGAAAGCCACAGGTTCCTCCTTTTTTTCTTTTTCTTTTTTTTTTTGAACAACCTGTCCATCTTCTGTGTGAATAGCCTGCCCATCTATCTGTCCTTTGTCCTCAGGTTTCCCCAGCTCAACCCACCCCAAGTACAGGTGGCCGACGGAGACGCACAGCAGATGAAGATCCAGATGAACGTAGGCAACGCTTCTTGGAGCGGAACCGCGCTGCTGCCTCCCGCTGCCGCCAGAAACGCAAGCTCTGGGTATCGTCTTTGGAAAAGAAGGCGGAAGAGCTCACCACACAGAACATCCAACTAAGTGTAAGCAGGCTACCAATATGCCTACAGTGTGATCAATATACCCCTAATATCGTATCTATCCTTGCTTTATTTTCAAGACCATCATCTTCCCTAGCCAATATAATCTGAAATTATGAAATCTCCATTTGTACGGAGGTGATTTTTGTACTCTGAGGCCTTCATTGCTTATCCTTGAAAATCCTGGCATGCAGTAGGTATTTTTGGTCTTGACCGGGTACCATCTGGAGGAGCTTATTTTGCCAGAGAGAAAAAAAAACGATTTGAGGTCTCTGTGAAAGAATGCATTCTCCTGACATACACTTTCTTGGATTATAGTTCCCTTAGTTAAATTATATCTCCTTTGGGAATGGACATTTTGTGGAACAGATATTAGGGCCTCAGTTGTTTTTATCTCTTGTTACTCACTTGTCAGTGTAAACTTTTTTCAGAAAATCTTATCACTCAATTCTGATCTAACTGCGGCAGATTTTTTTACTCACCCTTTGACAAAGATAATTGATACTCCTTCTTTTTCTTTGTTCCCATCACCTATAAATTTGATACATTATTGTTAATATATTGTTATCATTTCAAAATATCCTGATATGTGAAATTTTCTATTATTCTTACAAGTAAGAAAGACATTTTGTGTGGTCTAGAAGATGCACAAAGGGAAGCTTTTCATACTGTCTATCTGTCTCTAACAGTGGAAACTTAGCTTTCTCTCCTGTCTACTATAGAATCTTGGTCTGATTTGATATATTGCTGGTGCTAGATTATGAGCCAAGCTATTTGCGCTGCTATGAATTTTTTGGTTTACTTTTTACTACCATGATGCTTAGCTTTCCTGAAGCTTAATAGGAATTTCCCACCTTCTGAAGAAAAGGAATTGAGCCTTCTGGTTCTTGGACCTAAGCCAACAGGGGTAGTTCTGTCTTTGAGGGAGAAACTGAAGTTCAGTGTAATCTCTCTTTCAGTGGTAATAATGAGAATGTTAATACACTTGAGTTATTTCCATATGTGCCCTTGATATGGTGCTCCCACTTTTTTGAGAGACTTACACAAGGAATGCAACTAAGCAAGCCTACCATGACATAGTTACAATTATAAGCAACTGCAACTCCAGTGTTAAAACAGGCTGCTACCTCCATTCCCTATAAGCAGCCTCTGTCTGCTAGAAGCCAAAAATAGCTCCAGCATTCCATAGTTTTCCATGAAGGTGAACCTGGGAGATGCACTGGGTTTGTTTGCCTTTGTGAATTTTCAGCACCTTTTTTGTAAACCCTTCCAGGTATTTTGCCCTCAGTCCTATAGCTTTCACTTTATATTTCATTGGTGGAAAAGATTTGAAACTACTGCCTCAGTGTGTGTATTTGTGTACATGAGCCGAGGTGGCGCAGCAGTTAGAGTGCAGTACTGCAGGCCACTTTAGCTGACTGTGTTCAGCAGGTCAACAGTTCAAATCTCACCGGCTCAAGGTTGACTCAGCCTTCCATCCTTCTGAGGTAGGTAAAATGAGGACCCAGATTGTTGGGGGCAATGTAAATATATATATACATTGCTTACTGGTGTACACCACTTAGAGAGTGCTTGCACTTAAAGCGGTATATAAGTCTCATAAATAAATAAATGTGCGCATGTGCATTACATTTAGCCTAACTTATCTCAAAAGATTTTCAGAATTAAAACATGTTTTCTTTCAGGGTTTCTTAGATTAGAATCTCCTTTATTCACTACCAGGTTTCCAAATTGGCCTTATGAAAGATATTCCAATAGCAAAAGACACCATTTAGGCATATGATTAAGCCATAGGATTGAGCCATAGGATCATGGCAGTTTTAATACTAAAAAGGGGCATGACAAATGAAGCATTCCCTAAGCCCAGGGATAGGCAACCTTAGCTCTTTTATAACTTGTGGACTTCAATACCCAGAATTCCTGAACCAGCCATGCTGACTCAGGAATTCTGGGAGTTGAAGTCCACAAGACATAAAAGAGCCAAGGTTGCCTACCCCCTGCCCTAAGCTAAATAATGAGTAAATAGTGCTGGCTGAACCCCATGATCTGTAAATTCCTTCATATTTGTGTTGTGTCTCTGTTTCAAATGAACACTTAACAAGATTCAAGATTGGATGTTGAACCAATGCAATCAGACTAAATGTTTCCTTTTTTCATAGAACGAAGTTACATTATTAAGGAATGAAGTTGCGCAACTCAAACAACTATTGTTGGCTCACAAGGACTGCCCTGTCACTGCATTACAGAAGAAAACACAAGGTTATCTTGGTAAGCGGAATCTTATAAATAAATATTCAGGCAGGGCAAATGGGGTCAAATACAAGGGTCCTTGGTGCTCTCTGAATTTGGTTGTTTTCTTGCAGCACTGATGATGTTACCTAGTTTGGGTAATGAAATGTCTGCAAAAAAACAACCAAGCTCAGAGAATACCAAAGACGCCAGTTTCAACCCTGAATTATAAATAGTCTCCTTTATTGGGGTCAAACACAGATTGTAGAATTTCAGCACTTTATGAAGCAGCATTTTGTGATCCATCAAGATTTATAAAAGCATTCTATAACTGAAGAGTTGTGAATATTACAAGGACCCCCAACTCTGACCTAAGCTATTCCAAAACTGTTGGGGGTAGAATTCTCAGTACTCCAGTTATTATGGCCAGTTCTTCCTTTGGATGATGGATGTCCATATTATCTGAAGGACACCCAGCTGAAAGAGATTCTACTACATTTGCAACTATAGAACAAGACCTTTTTTTCCCCAAAGGCTGATTTTTTTTTTTTTTTACAGTGCTGTAAAACTGCATTTTTTTTCTCTTTTCTTCAATTCTGGAAGTTCACATTATAAGCCTTAGCTGTAGGGAAAGAAATTCAATTGGCATCTAGATAGTGCCAGTCTAATTCTTCTCAGTTATGCACATGCACTCTTGTGCAGTTTTATTATGGAGTTATGTGACTGATTTTTTTTTAATCGAAGAAACCAGAATCAGCTGACTCTACACAATAATAAACTATGGTTTACCAAATACAGTGGCTGGATTCACATAACATGCTATGTAAAATGAAAATCTATGCTAATGTGTTCCATGTATCCAACCCAAGATTATACAGATATTTTTGATTAGCGTCAGAATGGGTTATATTTTTCATGGTGGTTAAGTCTGTATTAAAGCTGAATTTTTGTACAGAGAATATTGTGGCCAAAAAAAAAAAGCAACTCATTTGAGAAAATATAACTGAAAAGAACTGGCAGAATCATTGCTGAAGCACGTTCTGTTGATGCTTGTAAAGCCAAGCCCAATCACTAATACCGTTTTATTTTTCCCTTTTCTTGAAAAATCAGAAAGCCCCAAAGAGAGTTCTGAGCCCACCGGTTCTCCAGCTCCTGTCATCCAGCACAGTTCGGTGACTGCATCTCCCAATGGGCTGAACGTTCGCTCTGCAGCTGAAGCCGTTGCCACTTCAGTCCTCACTCAGATGGCCAACCAAAGGACAGAACTGAACGTGCCCATACAGTCGCATGTCATTATGGCGCCACAGTCCCAGTCTGCTGGCAGATGATGTCGCCAGTTGCATGGCATAGAACTAACCAATGAACTGCAGCCAGAGAGACTGATCATAACTAAGCCCCTTGTTCAAAATGGGGTGGATACAGTTTTTGTTTTGTTCATTTGTTTTATTCTTTTGATTTCTTAAAAAATGAGTGAAGGGCAGCTATGGAGCTTCTAAATATATCCCACATAGATCCTGGCCTCAAACATCTGTCATAGGGCCATCGTCTTTCCAAAGGGTGGCTTTGGAATAAGTCATTTTGCCACACTTTAGAGACCATCTGTCATCCTATCTAGAATCGACCATTTGGATAGCCTTATACAGTGTGATCTTAAATGGTTAAAGTTCAGGTATACATTGTGCTAACACTAAGCCTTCCTTAGTTTGGTTACTCATGGTGCTTCCTTGTCTTGTCTACTGTAGCAAGAGAAAGCAGTTCTTGGGAGGAGCTGTGATGTTTTGCTGGTGCTGGCCATTTTTTGTGGAAAACTTTAGCATCCCAACTGTTTTTGTAGCGTATCCATCAACATGATACCTGATCTTCCATTCTACACTTTCACACAGGATTCCAGCTCATGGCTCTGAAGGTGGTAAGCTCCATAATTTTGTCAGTTTGAACTGTTCAAATTGTTTTGTGAAGAAAGTAAGAAACCTCACTCTTAGCTGCTGCAACTGATGGGTGATTTTGCTGTTCTGGAAGAGAAAATGGCAGGCTTGTTGTATACATTGTAGATCACATAATTTGTACTTTGCGTATGATCAGGGATACATTTTTGGTCATGTTGTTACCTAATACAGATTTTAATTTCTGTAGTTCGAGAGGAAGCCATCAAAACACAATGGAAATTCTTTGGTTTGTAAGTTACCAGGTGGGAAATGCTAAGGTATATTTCAATAATGAGAAGGAAGAACATTCACAAGGGCATCTCTTACTGGGTCTAGAAAAAAAAATAGAATGATTTAAGCCAGTGTTTCTCAATCTTGGCAACTTTAAAATGTCTGGACTTCTAGGCTGACTAGGGAATTCTGGGAGTTCAAGTCCAGACAGCTTAAAGTTGCTAAGGTTGAGAAACTCTGATTTATACCTTTGGAATCTGAGTAGTTGCAGAATCATAAGCATTACAGTAGCAGGTTCAAAGCTACAAGCTGCAGGATGTAGCTAAACAACTCCTATATTGTTTGGGGACAATGTAGGAGTTAGCTCAATGGCAAGGAAACAAGAAAATGTATCTCTGTTTGCAAATGCAAAAGATTCAATACTCTTATAAGAGATGTTCATTTCAAAAGCTAAGCTGACATGTTTAACCCAGTGAACCTTTCAAGATTGTGGCCTTAAATCATGGATTGTTTCAAAGACAAAAGGATTCCAAATGGCGTCCCTCTTACCTTTTTTTTTTTTTTTTTGGTCAGGTTTTCCATCCCATTTCTCCTTCAGATGATGTCACCTATTGCCTTTTCCCATCTGTCTCTTCCAAAATAAATACCGAGTTTCTTGCACATTGCTATCATAGGGTAGACTGAAAACAAAAAAGAAGAATCTCTTGCCTTTTCTTCTGCTTCTTGTCAAAGTGTGTGCGTGTGTATCTTGAACTGACCTTGACCTCTTGCTAGTTGGCCAATTTTAGCTTGAATCACAACCAGAGGAAAAGGTGCAGTAGGGTAGTTAGAGAGTAGCTATCATGAGCTTCCAACTTGCCAAATCGCCAACTCTTCCACTATTTTGTCTTCCTAATTATGTTTTTTTTTTAGCTGCCAGTCAATACAAAGATTTTTATTATTCCTCAGTTTCCACTCACTAGAAAGCACACATATGATACACACACAAATGCACATGTCTATGTATATATGTGTAAATGTATATGTGGCATGCTAAACTTAATGCAGGTTTTCTATTATTGCTGTTGCTACTGTCACAATCAATCCAGCTTCTCAGGACCTTAATGTCGCATGCTCTCTGTTTCCTTGCCTGAATATGATGCTGTTCTTCTTGTTCTGTTCTTCTGTGACGTGGTGTTTAATTTTAATCTCTCCTAGGTTCCTTTTCCTTTCTCCTTTGTTTAAAAGAAGCAAAATGTGTTTTGAATGTCTGCAGACTTCCTTTTAACAAGCATTTCAGACATAGTGTCACTTGTCTTCCTCCCCACCTGCCCCCCCTTTTTCCTTGCTTCCTTGATATGCTAAAAATGCAAGCTGGCAAAGGCTTTGAAACATAACTTGTCCCAACAGGGTATCTGTTTCCTTAGTGACAGCTCCAATAACAGTGCACAGTAGGTGTAGCCAGGATCTTCTCAGGTTAATAGGATAAGAAATGAGCTTGCCGGGCAAGTGGTATAGGACAAGGTATTTTAGTTTTTTTTTAATTTATATTTTTGTACCTTTCAAAACAAAACTGCTGCATTCTTTCATTTTTTAAAAAAAATCAGAATTCTGCTTGCTGTTGAATGAATGCAATGCAGGTCCAGAGAAAGGACTGTAAAATTTTGGTTTTTCATATTTTCCATTGAAAAATAGGGGCTCACAATAGCATTGAATTTGCTGTCTGAACTGGTGCCTAGATTCTCGTTGACAACTAGTGTTTTGTTATGAGAAAGAACAAATGAAGCTGTCAATTGTGCTATTGGCCAACCTTTTGGGGGAATGGTAAGAAACTTGGAAAGGGAGAATGAATATACCAAGATTTGCAAGTGAGCAACAGGCAGAGACTTGCCAAATACAGATTAAATTATGGGTGGATTTCTTACCATAGTTCAAAATGACACCCAAAGATAGGTATGGCCAGCACTGTCCTTTCTCAGTGGATGTACAGTTCTCTCCAAGAGTTGTACAACTGAGACAGAACATGATTCAGTAAACCCTAATAATTCAGCACAAACTGGGTAGAGCAGCTGTGGCTTAAGAATAATCCCCAAATATCTAACTTAAAGAAGGCTTTCTTTATTTGGGGCCGTGTGATAGAAACTCCAAATCTTTCTCTTAGACGGGAACCTTGTTTTAGAGCAACCGGCAATTGAACCTGGAACTTTCTATATGAAAATCAGTTGGTCTTTAATACAATATAATCTCTTTTCTAGTTGGATATGAGGCTGCTTCAGTTATCTTTAGGGAGGGGTGTAGTGCACTCGCCCTCAACTTGCCACTGTCTGGAAATGCTGGATGCAGTCAGGAGTATAACTCTCATTGTAACGGACAAAGGAGAATATTTGTCGCTCAGGGTTGAAATGAGGGATCCTTGGTGCTCTCTGAACTTGATTGTTTTCTTGCAAGAGAGCACCAAGTATCCCTTGGCTGGAAGGATGGGATTTATGCTCCATCACATTTGAATATGCCACGCTGAGGAAGGCTGATCATTATTAAAGATCTTGTGAAGTTGGGGTGGCCTTCCCTCTGCGCCATGCATGGGTTCATGGTCTGTGCTGTTATTCAGTTATTGTCACTCAGCCTGGTTCACTTAATGCTGTTGCAGAGGGGACTATGTTGAATCTTCCGTCAACGTGTGGTTTGCACTCAGGCTCTGAGACAGCAAGAACAAGTGTAGGGAAGTAACACTCCAAGTAGGAGGACTTGTGGAAAGTCATAAGATCTGATTGGATGGGTCTGGTAGAGCGCACAAGCTGCTTTCTATGGGGGACATCATGCTGTGGTTCAAAATCAGGGAGTAAAATATAAAAAAAGCTTTCGTAAAAAGCATCTCATTCTGTTAGCCTACCCTAAAAGAATATGACTGCAGCCTGGCTCCAGGAGTTTCCTGCCTCAGTGCTGCAGTACTTCAGGATAAGAAGGGAGTGTAGCACACAAAAGCATGGGGACATTTTAATGTACTCCTGCTCCAACTTTGGATAAACTCCACACTTGTTAAATTAAGCCAATCAGCTACCCAGAGTCTCCTCATGACGAGATGGGTGGCAAATAAATTTAATAAATAAATAAATAGATTAAAGTATCATGCTGTTAAAGATAGAGAAATATTTGAGGGGGGGGGGGCTCAATAAAATTAGAAACCACATCCACCTGTCTATTGGACTCTGCTGTATCCTCAACTAAAAAATGCCCAGCCTAGTTGAAGTATAGAGCCTGTGAACAGAATGAAATAATCTTACCATTATTTCTCAACTAAAAAATGCCCAGCCTAGTTGAAGTATAGAGCCTGTGAACAGAATGAAATAATCTTACCATTATTTTAAAAATGTATTTGAAGGAAATAATTTCTCTTATAGCATTTTAAAATTAAACTCTGCTTTGCTCTCCCCCTTTCCATTTACTTGCATCTGGATTGTTATGATTCCCTTAGTATGATCCTGTGTTCCTAGCAGTCGTTAAAAACAAAGCAACATTTGCACTTTGCTTCAGTTCCTGCTATTCAGTACTTGCCAGGTTAGAAGAGCTCTGGAGCTACGAAATGCTGGGTTTATAAGTAACCTCTGCTACATGGAATCACAGTAAAAGGTGGCTCTTATAAGGCCACAGAGCTACGTGAAGAATTGGTTAAACTGTGATCAGTCCTGCTCTAAATGTAGCTGACACACTGGTTGTCAGAAAGCTCTCCTAAACATATTATAACTCATAATAAATCAGTAGTTGGGTTTGTAGCAAGGATCGCTATAGCCGACTTCAGAGGATGGCCAGAACATAAGCTGTTGTCCCAAAAGAATTCCTTTCGAGTAAGCAAAGAATTTTTGAGGTTGAGAACAGGGTAAAAGTTACTTTGTCAAGTTACTTTTCTAGCTCAGAGAAGACTACCACGCTAGCCATGCATGATATGCTAAGGCTGATCTACATATTCTACAGCAAGGAGTCTCATTTTATTTCACCTTATTTTCTGATTGTACCAAGGAAGTGTGTTCTGGGCTTACACCCATATTTATAAGAAATTACTATTCTAAGTGTGTACCCTTTCAACCTGCCAATTGACCAGTGGCCCTTGTCTGTCACTGAAACTTTTTAACAAAATTCTATGCCTGTAGCAAAGGAAGCAATCTGGGAAACTGTATGTATAGTTTAATATAGCCATCTGTACTACTGCAGTATTTTATGTGCAAAAAGCATCTTCTACAAGAGGGAGAAACAGCATAATCTTCCATAAGTAGTACATTCCCAGAACATGTGAATCTGTCTCTGGTAATTAAATGTCAGCGTTTAAATAAGCTTCACGAGGAAGCTGGCTGTATAAGCTTCCTTATATAGCAGTTTTTACAAACGGCAGTGCCTGGGCTGGAAGGATTCGTATCAAGGATCTTGTGCAAGTTCCATCAAATCATGAGTAGATTTGTTTTACATACTCCCTGCTCTCATCTTCAGCAAATTGCAAACAGCTTTCAAAACGTTTCATTTGTCTACTCGCGGCAAAGTTGAAGTGATTTTTCATACGTTCTTCTGATTTCATGGAACTACAGTAGTTCTTATGTAGATGGCCTTTACCTCTGAACAGTTTCGTCTATCACTCTTAAGAGATATTGAGGTTTTGTAGAATCAAGAAACACCCTTTTGTTGGATATGCTCAGATATTTATCTTACCTTTTTTGTTTTTTCCCTTTTGAATCTTAACAGTAATAATAGTAAAACAAACACCTTATTCTGGTAAACGCCTCTAATAGAAATATGGTACCACTAGTTGCTGCTTAGAGAAATATTGCGGTGTATCCCAGCTCCTTGGGGGAAAATGCAATATCCCATTCTAGTTCTATTGGTTTAGATTGCCCTTCTCTATGAGAAATAATGTTTTACTCATAGTAGGGCACTCTTTCACATATTAGGCTAAGCAAAAAGTTACATCATGATTCGTATTTATCTGAGCCAGGCCTATGTCTGTTTCAGTGTAACAGTGTGCCTTTCAGCACACCAGTCCTAGACAGTGGTGCTTCAACTGGTAACTCAAAATCTGTAAGGATTTGGTGCAAAGAACATTATGGCAGCCATACTTTCCTTATAATTGTCAGGATTGTGTAGGACAGGGCTTTTCAACCGGTGGTACCGTACCACTTGTGGTACATTAACGAGTGGCAGGTGGTACACAGCCCTGCTAGCCAAGTGTAGTGGGGGAGGGAAAGAGCCAGCGCAGGCAAGGACTTATTGTGAGAGAATCCTCTGGAGCTGCAGAGTGGCTGAAGCTGAGCCTCACCTCAGGCTCACTTCTGGCTCACCCCCCCCCATGAGAAAGGAGGAGGAGGGGGTAGAGACAGGAGAAGCTATAAAAGGAGGCAGTTTGGGCGGGAAAGGGGGAAAAAAGCAGCAGCCTCCGGAGGATGTGGAGTCAGCTCTAACTGCACCGAAGGGGAAGGAGGAGGGTGGGGGAGGAGGAGAGGAGATCAAGGAGTCCAAGCAGGCCGGCCATGAGCCGATCTACAACTTCTGTGGCAGCCACCTGTGCTGGCAGCAACAAAGAGGCAAGAAATGCAGCAGGGGAGGGGTTGCCCTCCAGGAGGAATGAAGAAAGGTAGCATCAGCTGGAGGCAAGATGGAGATGGAGAATGGAAGGATTCTTATGTGCTTTTGTGACTTTGAAGTTCTGGAATTTGTGAAATCTGGGCTTTGTGTTCTTAAGGAGTGTTTGGCAATTTCTATTTGGCTGATGGCTGATGTCTCCTGTTAGCTTCTATTGTTCTGCTATTGTTAGCTGTAAGTTTTGCTGCAAGGGATTTTGAAGTATTTTTCTCCTGAATGGATTTTCCCTGTAGCATTCCTTTACTTATGAATGGAGCCATTTGGGGAGGCTGCCTTAGCCTCCAGCCAATACTTACTACATTTTTTTCTTCCTTAAGTGCCAGCAGCATTCATTAACTTTCCTTTCTAGCCAGCAGCTAATTCTTAAAGGGGAATGTGCCTTTTTAAGCTAGTTCCCTCAGCAGCTTCACTTTTCTGTCTCTGGAGCGCTTCCTTGTTCGATGAATATATGGAAGAGGGAAAATATGGGGGGGGGTTCAGATTCTTCCTTCAGAAGGAGGTGGGCATGAGAAATAGGGAGGCAGGGAAAGAGGGAGGAAGGGAGGGAAGGAAGGAAGTCCCGCCTTAGCACTTGGCCACTAGCAGCCCTGCCATTGACTTTGCTTGTCAAAAGGTTGCAAAAAAGGATCATATGACCCTGGAACACTGTAATCATCATAAATGTGAATCAGTTGCCAAGCATCCAAATATAAATCACATGACCCTGGGCATGCTGCAATGGTCATAAGTGTGAAAAATGGTCATAAGTCATTTCAATGCAATTGCAACTTTGAACAGGTTTTTTGTTTTTCGTTTTTTGGGGTGTTTTGGGGGGGAGTCATCAAGTTTTTGACACCTTGCTAGGTGGTACTCGAATATTGCCATAGTCTAAAAGTGGTACAGTCGGTGAAAAGGTTGAAAAGCCGTGGTGTAGGAGATGCTTGCAGCCAAAAGTAGATTTCTGTTATTGCAGTCGTTGTTATGCTCTCCCTACTTCTGGAAATCACAATCTCCTGATTGTCACCATGTCTGTCTTATAGACCAGGAGTCCCCAAATCCCGGGCAGCAGACTGGTCCCAGTCTGTGGGCTGTTAGGAACCGGGCTATGCAAGCAGCGGGCGAGTGAGCATGCACGTGTGGGATCTAGGTTGCTCATGAAACCATCCCTCCCCCCCCACTCCCACCCCCAGGTTCACGGAAGACAGTTTTTCTTCTGAAACCAGTCCTTGGTGCCAGAAAGATTGGGGACTGCTGTCATAGAATACCTATGGACATATACAGTAATCCTCAGTGTTCCACCAAGCAGCCTACTATTGAGTATAACCATTGCCTGTTTGCAACTTATGGGGAAGTTGTAATAGATTCATTTGTCTGTGCCAACAGAAAGGGAAATTACAATAGTTGCATATAAAAAAGAAGAGAGATTCTGGAACTCATGATGGATGTGCCCTGTAGTACTGACACGTCCAGGAATCTTAACAGAAAGCAGTGATAGTTACTACCACCTAAAGTGTTGACCATTAATGCTTTCCAGTACTTTTTTCTTAGGATAAGGATGTGTTAAATGCATATTTTTAAAAATTACCAACAGCTGCAATCACATGCTAATGTAAGCGTGCATGTGTTTCCCTTTGTGGTTTTTGTTGTTGTCTATCGAAGAGGATTGTTTGTGTTCCCTGGTCATCTTGCTTATTGGATTCTCACCCGTTTATGGCGCTGTTCCAAATTGCTAGATAAGGATTGTCACCTGCTTCTGTTCTGCTTTTGTCTTCCATTCTTTTAATTGTGTCATCCTATTTTAGTGAAGGCTATATTTCCTGACTTCAGGCAATTTTTACAAGCTTATTGAACATGCTTTCTGTGGGCAATGGTTAAAAAGTAGAATTCACAGATGACTCTGGTCCTGTTGAACAATCTCATCCTTTCTGCCCTGCCTTCCTGCTTTACCACACCTCCACCCATCAGCTCTCTGCCAAAATCTCTTTCCTCTAGGGCAGCGGTAGGCAACCTTGGCTCTCTTATGACTCATGGACTTCAACTCCCAGAATTCCTGAGCCAGCCATGCCTACCCTGCTCTAGGGCAATGTCTTGCAATCTCGGCAACTTTGAAATGGGTGCCTGCTGGGAATTGAAGTCCACATATCTTAAAGTTGCTAAAGTGGTTCTAGTGCAGAGGTGTCAAACTGGCGGCCTGCGGGCCAGATGCATCATGTGCAGGCCACGCCCACTCTGTCTCTGCAAAGGCAAAAAAGTCATAATAGGTCAGGTGACGCGACTGAGTTTGACACCCATGCTCTATTGTAAATGGTATTGTATTAGGTCAGGGGTAGGCAACCTTAGCTCTTTTATGACTCGTGGACTTCAACTCCCAGAGTTCCTGGCCAGCACCTGTATTCTTTTTACAAAACCATTTCGTTTTCAGCACTATATTGTGTGTGTGTGTGTGTGTGTGCGCGCGCGTGTGTGTGCGCGCGCGCTTAAGAGGATTATTTCTTGCAAATAATATATTGTGACTTGGAATGCTATTCTTTCCTCACCAGATGATGTTCATGTTATATTCTAAAGAGGAAGAAAATTTCATGTCTTCAAAGCTGCATTCTCCCTGTTTTAAACAAGTCATTGGTTGAATTCATGCATGTGTTTAAGCCATAATTTCATGAACAAACCACAATATACTAAGATTATAAACTACAGTAACAGTGTTCACTCAGTGATGGACCAAACAGAACAAATTACCTTTGATCTAGTGGTTAAGGCTTCAGACTAGAAACTAGGAAACTGTGAGTTCTAGTCCAGCTTAAAAGTATGAAAGCCAGCTGGATGACTTTGGATCAGTCATTCTCTCTCAGCCCAAATCACCTCACAGGGTTTTTCTGGGAAAAATAAAAGGAAGAAATATTATGTATATTCTCTACCTTGAATTATTTATAAAAATAAAGACAGAATATGATTTTTTTTAATCTATGGCTTAAATGGATGATGAGCTCAGACATGGAATTGTGAAAAACAGAATTCTTTGAGGAGTGTTGGCCTTGGAAGCCAGCACAAAGTGAGAATTTCCACTTCTTTCTCTCTCTCTGGTGATTCTTGACCAAGGTCCACCAGAGTTTGGCTCTGTTACTCATTTTAGCTCTAACATTTCTCTCCACCACATCCACCAAATTTAAGGCAAACCTCCCAACCTTCATGCTTTTCAGATGTGAGGAAATCTGCTCTCAGAATTTTCAGGAAAGGTTATGGGGAATTCCAAAAGTGGAACTTCTCCATGCATCTGGAAAACAGCTGGTGGGGTGTATGATAGGCCTAGGTTGCATATATTCCCCAGTGCTGATGGCTTCCCATTTTTCTTAAATGTGTTTTGCTCATGAATTTCTGTCATACATCATGATAGTCATAAATCAAGGCATCTATTTGACTCACCCAATTTTACGACATTTTTTACAACCATTTAGTGGTTGTTAAGTAAATGTCACAGTCATTGTCCACAATGGGTGGTTTTGTTGGAAACCAAAAGTAAAAGCCGATTTCTGCCAAAAAAAAAAAAAACCCCATTGTAAATCATGGTCATGTGACTTGGATGCTGCAAATGTCTTTAAATGTAAGATGTTGCAAGTCACAGAACACTTTTTATATTCTATAATAATAATAAATAAAGAATTCCAATATTGGATAGGAAGAGAGGTTTTCACCACAAGTTCTGTTTGAAATTAGCCTGCAGTTAAGTAATTGGTTTTGTGATTTATTTATTTTTGCAAGTATAAAAAAACACTTATTAACAGAAAGCGATAAAAAAATGGAAGCGGAATCCTCTGGGCCTAATTATAACGCAAGGCCCAGTAGATGTGTTGAAATATTTCAGTTTTAAGGCCGAACATGATGGATGGTACAGAAAGCTTACTCTCAGAAGAACTGTTTCCTTTTGTAGATCCATTTCAGTCTGGCAAGATAGGGTACTGCTTTGGAAGATTAGAAATTAAATAATAGGGGGTGTATGTCTCGGCTAATTTGTCTGGATCTTGTGGTGGATTGCTTCTGAACTAGTTGGCGAAGTTGTTTTGCAGTGGCTTCAGTCTTTCCTGTTGGGCAACTTCCACAAGGTGGTGCTGAAAACAACTAGCTTGATATTATGGCCATTAGCCTATGGCGTCCCATAGAGTTGTTTTGTCCCTTATGCTCTTCAGCATTTATCTAAAATTGCTGGGGGAAGGGGAGATGTCATCCAATGATTAAGAGTAGAAGTGTGGTGGTTCTTTTGCTCCTAACTATCCAGCTTCAAGAAGAAACCAGCAGCCTTGAATGCAAGTTAAATTCAGTGATTAGTCGGATGAGGGAAATTAATAGCCAGTTGAAATTATATCCAGACAATGGACAGATGCTGTTAAATCAGTAGCAAAATGAACTTTGAAATTAAGATTCAGTCTGTTCTGAGTAAGATTGAATACCCTCTGAAAGAAGTCTGCTGTTCGGGACTGATCCTTGATCTTCAAGTGTCACTGGATTTGTAAGCAGTAATTAAGTCAAGGAACATATGTTAATTACTGGGATGGCATGATCCTACACTGAAAGATTTGCAGTGGTTACCAGTGGGACTTACTGCGCACATTTTAAGGTATTGCTATTGATCTTTAATGTAGTTTAGGATCTAACTGAG